TACAAGTTGTATCTTTCCAAGTCCTGGTACGGCGGCAGAATCCGCCTGTTATTCCCGGGATGTCATTTGTGAACCTACGTTGTTCAGAGATATTCAAAGCTCACTAACTTAACCTTGTCAAGAAAATTAGTTTTAGTAGAAGTTTTACGGCACTCGCAACTGCTTAAGGTCATATGAGCGCCAGAAGATTAGAGGTGTTACAAGAGAGTAACAAACATAAAAAAAGAAGAAGGGGAGATAAGGACGATATATGTTTGATAGGAAAGAAGGAGCAAACCACACCAGAGCACCCGCCAACCACCCACGTTGTCCTGAAAGGACGATGTCGTGAAATAGGAAACGAACAAAAAAATGTAAAGCTAGCAAACACTCTTACATCGACAAAGTGGTTCTAAAATAGTAGGCATGATATAAGTTTCTGTTATTCCAAAAAGGGTATATTTCCAGTCTGTGATGATGGGGAGAATAGCATTTATTGTGATTTTCACAAATGTCTTCTTGTTTCTGCTGTGGATACGAGCAAATACATATCAGAGCATTGTCCCCACCTACCGGCGGTGATTTTGTTTTGAACTTCCTTACCGGAAAACTACGGAAGGGAAGGCAATTATGTATTGCCCCAAAAAATACCGACCAATTGGTGAACTGCTGCCTTTCTTTCACAGGCTAACAGTGGCGAAGCGTTTATATAATAAAAAAGTCACTGCTTCCCTTCCTAATTTTGAAACATTGTCGCTGTCAAATCCACCCATAGACGTAAACCTCATTAATTAAAATTAAAAAGACTTCCGTAATCACCAATGAACAATAGACTATGCCTAACATTCAAAACTGTTTAATTGCCACAGAAATAGCCTGTTCACCCCTATCAGGCCACTCTATAAGCAGTCGCAAGCTTTGATTAAGTAAGCTTAAAGTGAGGCTGGAAGAGTCTGCGAAAAGAGTTGAAGGGAACATGTATACAACACTCAAAGCTGTTTCATTGCCACATATACCCTGTTCACCCCTTTCGGGTCACAGTTAAAAGCAGTGACAAGCACTGCTTATGTAAGCGAACTACAGTGGAACTCGGATTCAACGAGGTCGCCGGGCCTGACCTAAAATCTCGTTGAATCCGAGTGTTCGTTATAGCAAACACAAGGTTTTGTGTAGATAATTACAGGCACGGAGCAAGTAATGTATAAAGAGAAGTCACAAGTAGTGCCTGAAATATCTGCATATTATGAGCTGTGTAAAAAAAAAAGACCAATTTGTTCAAATGCACTCGCCTGTGTCATCATCTCGAGTGTTTACCAAAAAGTTGTGTTGCTGTGTAGAGCCTAGCACACGGCAACTTTCGATTCCATAGACCAGCGCACAATTCATTACGTAGATCTACGTCAAGACCAGCCTATCATTGTAATAACTAGTAATAAAAGTACCCGTTCTACGAACGGAATAATAATGAAGAATTATTTGGAAAGTTAAGAAGAGGAAAAAGACTGAAAACAGGAAAGAAACAAAACATTTAATATTTTACCTTGAATTTATCCATGTATCACCCCCTCTTGGCTACCTCTAGGGGTAAGACTTTTTCTCCTTCTTCGAAGGCGTGGCATTTTCTGCTAAAGTTCCAGCTCAATCACTTTAAAAAAAAGAATTAGGCCTACATGCCAATTGTTGCTTCCTAGAAGAACCTGTTCTAGATTCTCGATCTAGCCTAGATCTCGAAGGATTGTAAAGACATAGGCCAATGATTGAAAGAAGGAGCCTTGGCCCATAGATAGATCTAAGTTTAGAAATTCACATTTTTAATTAACAACTGACAGGCGTCACAGATGGCCTAGATTTCTAGATCTATTCACAGTAGGAAAAATCCACTTTCAAGAATACTTTTATGATTCTTGA